AATTACAGAACATTTAATTAGATATTCATAAGTTTGATGATMATTTTATATTTATAAACTAATACAATTATTATCAACAGTAAATATAGGGTATAGTATGTTCTGGTAATATGCTTCCTAAAAATTAATTTCATATTTATGTTTTAGGTAATTTATTGTTTAGTATTTGGTACCTACAGTTAAACCTCGATAARTCAAAATAACTTGTTCCCTTGCTTAACCTAATCTTACCCTATTAAGCCGAAAACCTTGAAAAAATTCAGCTTCTCTTGAATTACAACTTGTCAAAGTTTCACTGTTATACTTTATACATAATTAGAATCAATTCGCAATAACTCAAAGTTTAGGATAGATAAAAAATAACTTTGAGATACCTAACTCTAATTTGACCTAAACTAACCTTGAGGACAGTAAAATAAAAAATGTATGTTATTGCTACTCGACTGTATTAGTAATTACTAAATACTATTGTTCAATAATTTAATACATTTTAGTAATATTATGTAGTTCAAACCTAATACATTTTATACTATAGCTGGCCATGCTTGCATCAATGGTTAGAAATTCGAACAAGTCGTGCAGTATGCCCTGTATGCAAAGCTGCTATAAATAAAGATAAAGTAATACCAATTTACGGACGAGGAAATTCCAAACAAGAAGATCCTAGGTAAATTTAAATGCTAAATGCATTTTTTTAATAACTTAAATTAATATTTATTATTCATACTTCATATTGTTTATTTTATAAGAATATACATAATAAATAAATTGCAGTGTCGGGTAAGTAACATTACTTTTTTTAAAAAAAAGCAACTTTGATACTAAGTATAATTTCTTACTTTAAAATTTCAAAGTTTTATCAAAAGTTTCATTTTTACTACATCCAACCAAYGGCKGATTGGATACAAAGTGCCATTCAGTAGTGTTTTATATAGCTTATATAATCTGACTTTGCCCTGGAAAAAATGAACAATTTATACAATTAATCGGTTTTGATGTAACCCAGTTCATATTGAAATATATTGGAAACCTTCATGGAAATGTACTCAACAATTTCTCAAATTTTTAATGCAATCAAACATATATTTGCTTATATATATAAGTATAGAAGATAGCTATCATCGAGTACTTTGTTGCTTGTAAGAAAACCCATCACTTATATGATCAAATTTTATTTTAAATTTGTTATTTAACTTACTGGTTTAGTGATGCTCAAAACTTAAAAAAAAAATAATTAGGTTTAGCTTAGATTTTAGTTTTATTTTTGATACGTAAATCATAACATTGCACATTTATTTGTAATTGGATTAGGTTTATTTTTATAAAGATTACGCCTAATACGTAAACCTAAAGGTCTATCATTTTTTTTTTAACCTAACCTAGGATGTTACTTTAAGTTAAAGTCTTTAACAGTATTTAGCTTTGTATGAGTGAAAGAATTTTACATTCATTACAAACAAACAATTTCACTTCTTTTTGAAAATAATACTTATGAATTCAGTGTTCACTGTTAAATATATTTTTATGTTTCAGAAATAAAGTGCCACCTAGGCCGGCTGGTCAAAGAACAGAATCCGATGCTAATAATGTGAGTCATCAACATACAAATTTTTATTTCTCATATTCATATGAAACTGGTTTTAATTTTTTCAGAGTTTACCCACTTTTAGCTTTGGAGAAGGTAATTTTCATTTGTCATTTGGAATAGGAGCATTTCCTTTTGGATTTTTAACATCGTTTAATTTCACTGATCGTCTACATGGAAGTAAGTACACAACAGTTACATTTTTGAGTTATTGATTTCATTAATAGATTAAACTTGTTAAATTTAATTAATTTATAAATTTAATTAGTTCCAGTTGGTAATCAACTACAACAAGATGATCAATACTTATCAAAACTTTTCTTATGGATTGCAGTAATATTTATTATTTGGCTATTGTTAGCATGATTTACTCATAGAGTATGTTCTTTTTATTTTAAATATTATTCTATCATTCAATGAACTACCGTGGTAAGCACTTAATGAGAGTTTCTTTTTATATATTATTTTAATTCACTAATTGTCCTAATCTATTGGCTWTATAAGTTCCAAATTTACTTCAATTTGTACTATTTGATACTTAGTCTGACATTTTAACTGTTATTGTTAGTCATATTATTTTTTATGATATGATTACTTAAGTATTAAACTTTATAACAGTTTGACGAATATTTTAGCCATGATTTTGTCAAGAATATTCACAATACCAGCAATAATTTGAATAGTTCTCTCTTTTGATTTAAAATCTATACTAAATCTGGAGTTATTGATTTGTAATTTGTATTATGTTATAATTATTTTAAATGTCACAGTTAATTTAATATTTTTGAATATTGTATTATTAATAATGATGGTTTATTTATAATAATATAATGGTATTGTTTTAGTTAGTTAAAATATA